CGTATAGTTTAAGCCAAGTCTGAACTCTTACTGACTTATCTATACCATCAAATCTTTCAAGTTTGAACAGATTTGGTCGGTTCGTTGGCGGTAGCGATGAAAGCATTTGATTGGGAAATGTAGTTAATGGATCAGCATTTGTAGACATTACTGGTACTTGAATGTATTGAGTAGTTTGTGTACCAGTAGATGTGGGTATTACAACAGGTATTAGTCGGTGTGATGTAGCAGTTGTAGTCACTACTTGCGCGCTAGTAGTAGTAACGGTTGTGTCAGCGGTAGTTGACGGAGTAGCCATTGTCGGTYAGTAGTCGTAGTGTGTTACGTATAAATATATTGTTTTTCGGTTAGTATTCAGACTATATTTAGTACTTAACAATGCATGTTATACACCGATTCCAGCCACTGAGTGATCAGATCTAAGAGTACGGCTTACTTTGCAATGTATATAAGGAGTGGATAGCTCTATGGCACACGTCCCGTAGACTTTGCGTTTCTACCGTACACTTATTCTGGAGAACGGGGGCAAGCCCTTTACGTATATGCACTGATAGTTATGTACTGTGACAATACAGTCAGACACGTTCCGTTACAATTTTATACAAATATAAATTTTATAAAAATGTTTGAAAATTTTCTAAGTCTTTTGCCGTGAAAATGACTTAGTTTTTAATCGGTTAGTGTATGCAGCGATAACCGTATAGAAAATGTCGGTTAATAAAAAATACAAGTTTTTATATTTTTAAAGTATTTAGACGCGAAATATATATAAGCGGTAGCGGCACTATGCGAAAACCGTATGCATGTTTTCGGTATGAAAATTTTCTAAGTTATTTAATTTTATAAGTATTTTAACGGTAATAATATTTCCAGGCGATGACGGCACCAATTGAAAGCCGTATGAGAAATATCGTCGATGAAAAAGTTAAAGTATATTTTACATACAGTACGGTGTGTTGAGATGTTAGACGGTAGCGGGCGATTAATGTTGCCGTTGCAGATCCTGCCGACTGCGCCAAATGTGACGGGTCTTGAGATGATCGATCCGTTTAGAAGCCAATATGTAGAGTTGACTCCGAGTGATGAGTGATGTTAGGCCGTCTAACGATACGATGAGTKTCCGATGAAATAATTACACACACATATGTATATGAATAAATACTTTATTATTATTATATGGGAAATACAGAGTACCGATTACTGTTGGTCCGACACGGTCAACAGTACATAGGATAGACTGTCTAGTGTTACAGTATATTGTGTACTATTGATACCTCTGTGAGTACATTACATAGTACTAATGTACTATGTGTTACTCGTGAGGGGCAGTACTACATACTGTATCGGCATACTGAGCCATAGGGGAGCTAGAGGGGTGGAGTGACTTCAGCCGGTAGCAGACTCACTACCTAATTAGGTTCTTAATTCCTAACTGAAGTCCAGAACTCATCTGAAGATACCACTGATGGTATGCTACTTATATACAAGCGGCGGAGTCCACTAATTAGATAGGTGTTCGGGTATAATTGTTCTGAGGGGCTGCTTCAGAGGGGGGTCGGAATCAATTGCAGTGTCAGTAAAATATATACTGTTTTATACGGTAATTTTCGAAAGGTAATTAACTTTTCCCCTATTTTCTATGTTATGAGCCAATCAGAAAGTAATAGTATGTGAATTGGAAAGTGATTTATTACTCTATAAACTTTAGACCAATCAGAGAAAAGTAAAACTAAAACTTAGCAAAAAGTTAAGAAAACATTAATAACTTCTTAATTAGTTGAGCTATTGAGCTAAGATTCAAAAGTATTAAAGAGGACATTTTAAAAGACTAAAAATAATAATTTGTTTCATATTTACTAATTTATTTATTTTAAATAAATTAGTTTAAAATTCTAAACTCAAGGGAGACGCGAACTCGGGTATTACGCTTCACTATGTGAAACGCTAACCACTAAGCCAGTGAGGTAATGTTAATCAATAGTTGAATAAATAGTGTTTTCTATTTACTAAGTGATGCTCTGGATGAGTTGCTATGGGTAACGGGAAGACTAGTGCTTTGCTATATAATACTATATAGCAATGCTATATAGACAGTCAGTCCTTTACATTAAATATTGATTATATACAAATACATTGAATATAATATTAAATGAATAAATATAAGTTAAATATAAATAATTATTAATTATAATATAAATAATTATTGTTTTTTGGGGGCGTTTTTCTGAATTAATTGTTTAATTAGTTTGTTTAACTTCATCAAACAATATTACATTAATYTRTTATTTAAGTTCAAGAAATTAATATCACATTTAATAAGATAAAAACACATGATTTTTYCAATTATTACAAAAAATTATAGACTAATATTTCAAAATTGAAATTAGTTTGTTTGTTATGCAATAATWATGTCAAAGTTTGATATTTAATTGCTTTAGTGTRTAATAAATWTGTTGTCTTTTTTGATATAGTTTTGGAAATATTTCTAATTAWATGATGAAACCCTATATCTTAWMTAAATAACTCAATAACATAATTATTTTTTGAAAATATAAATCAAAAATAAATTTAAATATARAGAAATATTTTWGTCTATTAMACATAAAAGTTAATATTATTAACAWTTAATACAAATGTAAAGTTTTTGTATTAAAAATTAAAATAAAMAACAATAAAATACWAGTCTTAATAAARTATAATATTTTTTGCTGCTTTTGAATATTCATTTATTGTAATTATAATTAGTTTATTAACATTCTTGAAATTTCTAAAAATTWAATTTTACAYCTAATAAATRCAAATTATCGTTAYTTTTGACGCAATTATAAAGTTTTATATAGYTTGGTATTTATTATTTTGAATAAAATTAGTGATTTAATTTTATTGTTTTATTTATATTTAGTTTTGCTATTTAATGAAAACTTATATAATTTATTCAAATTTAAATTAAAATAATTAACAACAACTATAAGATTATAAATCTACACATATATCATAACATAAATTCTATATATAACATACATACATTAAAAACATCAATAATTTTTACTGTACTAACATAATTAATAGTAATAATAATATACATGAAATATTATAATTAATTTTATTATAAAAAATCATAGTTGCTCATTATATATTAAAATTAAAATATTAATCAGAGTTGATCTAAAAAAATATTTAATAATTCCTGTAATTTATTCAACTAAAAATAAAAGTTAAAAAAATAATTCTTTAATGAAAATTCTATTTTTAGTTTATATTTTTTTTATATAGAATGTTWTATTTAAAAAATTTAAAGATATATAATATTAATTCWAATAAATTATATTTTAATWTTATATTGTATAATATACAGTATTGTTCAAAAAATATATTTAAAATAATCTATTTTTAWATAATTTTTTAGAACTTTTYTTAGACAAATTTATTGTAAAATTATTATTTATTTATTTCYAACTAGAAATAAAGAATAAGTAAATTTTATGCATAAAACATCAATTAATTTTTAGACACAATAGTAACTTATTTAATTTGAAAAATAATTTTAATAATTTAATAATTGTTAATTTAGTATTAGGTTTTATCAAGAAAAGATATTAATAAGATTGTAATATTTTGAGATTATTTTAATTTTATATTCTTAATAAAAGTTATTTAAATATCATTTTAATTAATATTATTAATAATTTTTGTAAAATAAAWTGTTATTCAATAATTTTGATATTTATACMAATTATTAGTATTTGTTAGCTTTAGATATCAATTTCATTTTCTGACAAAAACTCTAGATATAATTTTAATAATTTCTTATTATATGCAGTTATTATACAATTAAATAAATTTTAATGTTTTTATTCAACAAAAAAAATGTTGAAAATAAATAATAATTTAGATTTTTATATGGAATAAATTGTTACAATAAATAAATAATAAAAATTTGCTTTGAGTTTCATTATGAAAAAATCAAATATTTTATTTSATTCAATCAAACAAAAAGTATATTATTTACATAATTTTTTAATATCTTTCATATAAATYATTAATATTTATGAAAAAAAACATAAATTAAACATTTTATATAATAATACATATAATAACATTACAAGARAAGTTATWGATTCAAATTTATACRAAAACATTATTTGTTATATTAATAATTGTAATAAAAAATAGCAAATAAAATTTAAAATACCAAGGTAAACAACTTAACAATACATTATAATGTTATATAAATAAATTTATATATTATATATATCTATAACTTTTCTTAATGCTAAATTTGAATTACATTATAAAGATTTATTAATGAGTTACAGAATATATATAAAATTATTCTGTTATATATATATAAAGTTTTAAACATTTAGTTTATTTAAAATTATTTTTAAAAATGTTTTATTTGTTTAATATAATTTTATGATTAATAAAAAATAATATTACAGATTTTAGTACAGTAAAGAAAATTTATTTTATTTTTAATTTTTATTTTACAGTATTATATAACAAATCCTTTTTATGTTTATTTATTTTTCACGTCAATAATAACCAAAGGAAAATATTAGTTTTAAAAAATATGTTATTTGTTAAATATTAATACTTAGATATAGGGTCAAAAAAAGTAGATTATAAACAAATAAAAAGTATATTGAACTATTAATATTTTAAATTAAAATATAACAATTAAAAAATTTTAAAAAATTACTTTAAGTATACATGACATTTATTTATAGTTAAWATTTATATATAAAGTTTATATMTTTATATWTTTTGTWAATTTTAGTTTTACAGGTTTGTCTAGATAAACACTAARTATATAACATTWAAAAAATCTGTCTATTGATATAAATATATTRAAATTTAATTGAGTTTCAAGTATGTCATGAAWTTTTTTAAACAGTTTCATTTTGTATCATCATTTTTATTGTTAAATTTAATAATTCTCAACGACTTTCAATTATTTAAGTAAAAAWTWTTTTTTTTATCAATCATTTTWTTTYTGTTCAAATTGTTGTCGGTGTAGACATTGTATTCAATTCAATAGACTGTCCGTTAACTGGTTCCGGGCTTATCCTATAYGTTAGTGTAGTGTTATTGTAGTCGAGTGTTGTCTGGTGTTGGCTRTTATTATTATCAATTGGATTATTCAGAGATAAGTTGTCTGAACAGTAAAATAATTGCTTTACTTGTGTCTTGAAGTCGTGATTCAGCCAACAATAGATGAATGGRTTATAACTGACATATTTTTATCGACAAAAATAAAAKGTTTAAAAAATTTGATATAATTAGTTGAATTATATGAATTAAAATYAAGTTWATAATAATAATAATATGTAYWAAAAAATWAATTTTGAAATATATTAAACACAAATTAAGTTAATTTTTTATAGTATTAATAATAATAATATTTAAAATGTTATTTTTAATCCTTATTTTTGTAAAAAGTAATATATTATTAAATATTTTTGAACAAAATAATAATAGAATTAATAAATACAGTCTTTTAGYTTATTAAATATAAGMTAAAAAWCTGTATTTATTAAAATTATTATAGAAAATAAATTMAACWAAATGTATTATTAGTAAAAAAAAAATTTATTATTATAAAAAAATTAGATTTAWAATATWTAYATAWATATATATATATGTATACAGAGCTTAAATTTTTTTAAAAGACTTATTTTAATATACTATTTATAATATATTACCCATTAATCTCTATATAAATTCTATAAGCATACAATTTTTTAKKATTATTTACATATTACATGTAATAKCAATATTTTAGTAAATTTCYCTCTCTCTCTCTCTCTCTCTCTCTCTCTTTCACTCATACTTTACATACATAATAGATTTAWATAAGTTTATAATGTATTTCATTGAAATATTTAACTAATAACAATTGAATTTATTTATATAATCTAAACTTGATAAATTTWTTATAGAATCTTTTATTAAATTAAGTCAATAATAAAACACATTTRTGGTTKTATTTTAATGTGTAAATACTTTACWCTAAAGTAGATAAATAAATAATTTTGTATTTATAGTTTGATTTTGAAATATTATTGATTTTATTTAAGCAGTTTTWAGYGAAGTTATTTTWAATATTATAATTAGKATKGAAAAATAATACATSATATTTAACATAATTTACAKTWTATGCATGTATTGTAAATAATTTAACACCATTTTKTCATTTATTTAAATGGAAATTATTTAAATAAATATTATATTTATTTACAAACTATCTTTTATATTTTATACTATATATATATATATATGMTAGATAWAATATATTTAAAAAACTAATAWAATTAATTTRTTGATTTATATTTATGATTAGTGWGAGAYAATTATTGATTATTGATAAATTAATTAAAACTTTTAAAATTACTTAMAAATTACAAAATATTATTTATTTATACAAAAAATAATCTATAAAATWAAGTAATTTATTATTTATTTGTTTWATAATATATATTAAATATGTAAAGTATAAAGACTTTATGTTTAAAAATAACTTTTAAATATYAATATTTCACTAAAATTTAACAATAATTTAATTTAACATTTTTGCCATTTATAGAAAGTATTCATTTTCTAAATGTTTTTTACTTTTCAAATAACTGCCGACTATTTTATGGATCAAGTATTGCCTAAAATCCYTATATAAGGGTCAGCAYTGACCTTAMATTTTATGCTGTGCTTCACGACTGCAACATATAAACTAAAATTGTAATACAATTTYATATTAAAATAAAAATKATTTAATAAAAAATACAATTAGTTTTTTAATCTATTGGTGCKTCAAATAAGTAAATGCCGTAAAACTMAASTTATGTTTTACAAATAATATTATTCTAGTCACCTAAAACTAAAAAGTTATTTATTRAATGATAATTTATATGAAATATAGATTTTTAAGTTTTTATCTATTAGTCTTATATTATAAATTGTTRAATTGTTTTAAAAAATATATTGAWYGCAAATATAGTATAATTTTATTTTTTTCTATAAACTATATTATAATATTATTTAGAGTTTGAGATAAATTCCTACTTTTATTATCTATATTTTTCCTGCTTTTTCGGAATTCCCARAAAATCTATTTGAATGTGAAAACAACTATTTAARCCAAACTTACACATCACTAATCATCAAATTGTWTATTTATTACTATTGTYAAATARTATCAATAAATTTATTTTTAAATATTTTATGTTAAATATTAGTAATTATTGTATTTTTTAGTTGTAATGTTATGAAACATATTTTCCATTTTAACATKCTAAAAAGAAATAAATATTTWWAAAWTTTTAAAAATTTTCTGTGAAAATTGTAGAAAATTTATAAYTGGAATTTAAAAGATTATTATAAGTTATATTAATAATAGCAATTAYATGTGCTTTTAGAAAATACAATTAATTAGATATATGTTATAAATATTTTATATTTTCTACTTATTTTTTTAAATACAACTAATTAAATAAATATTTAATATTATTTAGATTGKATAACTAAATCTAACTTAATTCAAGTTTTCAATTAWWTAAKATTAAAYAAATAATTATTATATACTTGTATTAARTTTTAATTAATATATKTTYTCCAAACTAAAATCTAATAATTRATTARTAGATAATAATTGAATATTTGAAATCATTGGAAAAGTATTATATAACAAATATKTTTGTAATAACTATTGTTGATKYTGTCATTTGAGAYAAATTAAATTATTGATTTTTCATTGAATWGATATAAATTATACAGTTGAGAAAATWTTAGACATTTACGGTAATATATATATATATATATATATATATGTTATAATTTAAAATATTTATAATTTTATCGCTATTTAATTGACATATYACTGTATAAACCAATAGTGTCTATTTAAACAATATTTTAATRATTAGCTACTTTAGGCAYAAWTACAATAGTTATTCAAATAAAATACAAACACACAATCTSTATACAAACTTTTSTAYATAAAKTTATTTTTCAATATTTTGTTATTTTTTATACAGTAAAAAATTATACAGGTAATGAAAATAAACTATCTAATACTAAACAGATAAAATGTTTTATATTAGTATTCAATATATAGTGATTCTCAGTAAAATCAAATAAATAACTAAATAGGWTATATATAAYTGTATATATTATATTAATTTCTAAGTAATTTGCTTCAATAACCACAATTAATTTATCTAATGTAGAGACAGTATAAATATAGTACTGTATCTATTAATAAATTTAATTTATCMAWTTTATCATCATAAATTTAAGAAATATAGTTATATAATTATACTAAATTGTGCGTAAATAAAATGAACATGTTTTTTATATTAGTAAATGTCATTATAATTATTTACTCATTCAATCATCTCTCTCTCTCTCTCTCTCTCTCTCTCTCTCTCTCTCTCTCTCTCTCTCTTTCAYTTCAATCAAAAACAGATWAAAACATTGAATCTAAACATAATTGAAATATATAATTACCAAACACTAGACATTGCCAACCAGTGGTTAATGAAAAACCATTTAACATTATAAGCAATGAGCTGGTAGTCTGTGAGTAGTAGAAATAAATTAAGTGGTAACCAACACATAGCAAAYACAGTGACCACTAAAACGAGCATGCTGATTCGACGTTTRTTYTGACCAATCAATARCACCCGACGGCGTTCGGTAACTGTGCCGACAATTTCGCGGCGCCACAAAAATATGCCAATCTTTATATAGCAGACACAAGTTAAGAGGATAGGTATGCAATATTGTGTTAGAAATGATATAAGTGTTAGTCTCTGGCGAAACAATTGTTTTGGCTCCGGGTATGCCAACTGACAGCGTTGCATGTTTTCCATACCCGCCAGTCCAACCAACCGGTTATACAGACCGTGCGGTACTGAAAATACGATWGCCATCRACCARATTAGTACCAATAGAAAGTTAGCATTTAATAGTTTGCCAAATCTTCCGCCGGCACCGGTAGCTCGGGTACCGTTAATAACACTACGGTAGCGTACAATAGCAATAAACATCATYGTTAATGATGAACAGTGGACAGAAACCGATTGTATGAACGGTACAAACATACACATTGCYGACCCGAATGGCCAACTGTCCAAAACAAATCTTGTTATATTAAACGGTATGTTAAGTACAGTCATCAATATGTCACTAATGGCTAAATTGACAATCAGTTTGTTGGTTGTTGTCATGGGTTGTACAGTATTTTTAGTGTCGACCAACACTTTACACACTAACAAATTGCCGATCAATGATATGATAATAATCAATGAATAACTGGCTATTAATAAAGCATTTCTACGCTCTATTGACTCCCTGGACACCGGGACAGTAGTATTGAGATATTGTTTAATTATGAATAAACGCCACAATTCGCTATTGTTATCAAAACTTTGGTAATCATCTAATAAATAGTCATCAGTTATATAGTTGGCATTCATAGTCATAATAGTTTTCAATTTATTAATATAAATAAAAAAACAWTTTAAACATTAAATTATATAAAATATTATTATTATTATTATACTATAGAAATAAAATTCAAATTATTCACTAAAAAAAAGTTGTTGAAAACATATTTTTATATATATAACAYTTATTACACTTAAAATCAAATTTATTTACATTATATTACTGTTTTCAATAAAAATATATCAATAACTTACTTAATAAAATAKAAATTKTAATTATATAAAATAGCCTTAAGTCACACTAGAATTTTTATAAAAGTAATTCAATTATATTGTGTGTATGTGTTRTAAAAATTCAGTAATTATTACAAKAAATATCTTCAGATATATGTTTTATTTTGTATATTTGTTRCAACAATAATATATGTTTAGATGTGATGCMAATACTTAAAGATTGTGCGCAAAATTTTTCGGACAGAATCATTRTATAACACTTTAATAAAATAATAATAAATTATTATTATTATTATTTTTTATWTATATAATAATAATATATAAGATCTAAATTTAGTATATAGTTTATTCATGTATAAATTATTCAAGTAACTTTTTTGTGTAAAAATKATTCATAAACCATTATGAYATAAAATATTGTTATTTCAMTATATTTTTYTAATAATTAAGACATATTAAAAAACCAAATTATTATTTGARCAATACTTAATCAGAAGTATTAACAGTAGTTTATTATTTGAATAAACGATATGTTTTTCGTACAGAAAAAAYAATTATATCTTATTATATTATTATAGGCTATAGACTAATGTWTTRTCTAATAAATTAAACAATACAAATATATATACTATATATATATATATATAAAATACTATATTTGTACACACATTATAAATCTATATAAAWTTTACATTATAAATAGACTTAATAAAAATTAATTATCTAATTGTCTACTATTAAGTTTTAYATAAAAGAAATTTATAARCATTTTATAGATTAAAATTKCTTATATTGTTTTTATTTKTTGGTGAATATRTAGGTGTTAACTATAMTGAATTATAATAWTATWATATATCGATTACATTATAATTTACTATATAAACCTCTCAAATATAATGTCATCAATAGATAAATCWAAATTTTTTATATTATATTTCAAGACCAGAACCAGTAACAGAATAGATGACTATATATGAAAAAATAACAAATATTTATATCAATATACKGTATTATTTTGATTTTTTTATAAATAAAATATTTTATTTAATAAAATGATAACAATCTATAAATTGCTAAATAAATTTTGTATACATTGTAAACATTTTTTCACAKTATTAAATTTAATTTTGAAATCTCTATTTTTATATAGATTTTAAAWCTATTTATATCTATTTTTAAATATAAAAATAATTTTACTATAATCGATAAAAATTAAGTATATTATATGCTAAAAATAAACATCAAATAGTTAAATTTTTATAAAAATAATGAAACTTGATTTTTTTTATAAAAAATAATTAAATGTATTGTATTTAAATAGACTATACTATAATAATAATTAATAATAATTTTAAAAATATATTTTCAATTATTAGTTTAAAACATTTTATTTATAATACTAATAATACCAAYAATTATTATTATKTTATKTAATTATGTTATGTGYAATATATCGACATAAGTASCTTATTATTGATAATTTTAATCTTAAAAACAAAAATATTTCTATAGAAATAAAGTTTACWYAATATTATAATGATTTTAGCAAAATAAAAATARCCTTMCAGATTAAAAATTATATAAAATATTTTTTTACATGAGATATTTAATATTTCAGTAATCATTAAATATTATAAATTAATATCAAACGTTATGTAATGTAAAAAAATATTTGCCCGAAATATTCYCATTTTAATTTTAATAATATAAAATTTGCAAATAATACTATATGWTATAAARTACTGTAMWATATAACTAAAAATACTGTACATATAAATATATATATATTTATATATAAAATTCAGATAAAATTACAAAACATTTCTAACRTATATAAAAAACTAATRACACATTTTATTATATKATAAATTTGAAATKTATTCTTAGATATAWTAATMATWAATGTTTAAAAATAAAATATTATGTWTCTCAKAGATTCAATWAAACTSTATATTAAACAACTTGTAATATAAAAATTGTAGAAATCAGTAAATTAATAGATATTATAACAAATATAAAATGTCATTATAGTTTGATAAGAAATATAATTATATATTTTGTTAAAATTTATAGCATATGCACTACAATTGTATTATAAATGTTATATAAATATATATTATCGTACAATAAGTTTAAGTATAATTAASTTGTCACTTATCTAGTGTTGGCAATAAAAGAAATTTAACAAATAATTGAGAAATTTCTAGAAAGTTTCTAAAAGAAAATTCTATCTATGGGATCACCATGTTAATTATATTTTTATCGATATATACCGTATTATCATGTAACAATACATTGTTTTTACAAGTAATAATTAAATAATAGTATTAATTTTTTAATTATTAATTAAAATAAAAATTAATTAATTTAATTATCTTAAATTCTTATAAATATAATAAAATTTTACAAAACTGTTATTATTAAATAATTATAATTATTTTAGATATAGGTATCCCATTTTGTATAGTAGTGTACTATATATTATAGTATATTATTATATGTATAGTATGTCTTATTATAATACTATTATTATATTAATATAGTATTACAGTAGCTATAGATATGAGGATCACATAGTATAATAATAAAGTTAAATTTCTATTGAAATTTATTCCTGAAAAATTTTCTAGAAATTTTCTAAGGGAAATTTATTAGAAAATTTCTATTTGCCCATCTCTACACTTATCTCTCTAACACTTTACTAGAAAAACATTTATAAAAATGTTATCATAATTATTAACAATATAGTYTGTGATTTGCTTTTAAAAAATAAATATATATAATGTATATATAATGTATTATATATATATAAATGTTAAAAATAAAAAAAAATTATTAAGTGTTGAAAAATATATCTAAAAATATATYTTRTTTTATGTTWAAAAACAAWTATAAWATTTAATATAATGTCTCTAACAGAACATGAAATACAATTAGTAAAAAATAGTTGGAAAACWGTTAAACAAAATGGAAAACAATTCGGAATTGATTTGTTTATTAAGTATGTATTGATTTTTTAAAATGTTTTACAATTTTAAATTATTTATTATAAATTGACACTTGGCCCGTATGAATTTTGAGTTAWYTTTAATTGATTAAACAAAATYAAAAATGCAATTTTGTACATTATATCAATAAAGTATATTATAATTATTCATGTTTGCTAAGAGWCAATTGCATACAAAAATTATTGYACATTGTGAGCAATGTACTGTAMTATGTATTTTGCGGGGGTGTTATGAGGGCAGACAAACAGTCCACTAGTAGTTAACAATYWTTAGCATTTTAAAATATAGGGGTTAAAAACAGTATARTGAGGGTCTATTAAAATTWAGTTAAATGTAATTTTTAATTACTATATTTGACATATTTATTATCATTTTAATATAAATTTTTAATATAGATATTACCTTATTATCATAATTATATAAAAGTTTAATAAATTRTTATAATTTTTTTTTTTTTCAGTTACTTTACAAAACATCCCACTTATCAGCAATTATTCAAATCGTTGGCAAAAATTCCGTTAAATGAGTTGTCGTCAAACAAGCGACTGTTGGCCCACTCGACTACAGTCATGTACTCATTGACATCAYTGGTTGACCACTTGGACGACACCGATGTCCTTATTGAGCTATTGGCCAAAATCGGTGAAAATCATAACARAAATRAAGTCAAACTCGATATGTTTGACGAGTTGGGCGTCGTTTTGGTTGATCTATTGAGAAGTACATTAGGAGCCGATGTATTCAATGGTSAACTACTGGAWGCCTGGGCTAAGACATACACTATTGTGGTGTCAGTTATAAAACARGGATATAATTAATAAATGATTTATTTTTTGAAAATTCAATATAAAATTATATTTTATTTCAAATAAAATTGAGTTTATTAAATAACATGTWWYWACAATAAAAAWAACATWACTTAAACAAAAATAAAAWGTGTGATAYTGTTAGTGTAGGAAATAAACTATTTTATATTATTAGACAAAATCAATAAAAAAAAGTCTTAATARAGATTTTTATGAGATTTTTAAAAATAATAATGGTGAAAAGTATWTTTTTTTAAAATAAATTTTTGTTSAACAAAAATCTATTGATATATTATTGTTTAAAATATTGWGTWTTATTGTAATGGTAAGCTAGATTATAAATAATAAAAAATCTAACAATATTTTATTTAAAAAATAAATAAAATTGTCATTTGATCCGCAAAAATGTATTTCGAAATTATAAATATTGGTTTTAGATTTTAGAATCTAAAAAAATAAAAAATAAAAACATGTTTAGTATACAGTATTTATATTTGTATTTTTAAAGATTTACTATTAAAAACRTTTTTAATAAAAACATCTTTGTTCAATTTAAATCTGTTATTTAGTTTGTTTAAATTTAAAAATAAATAAAAGTATAATTATATTATTTTTAAGTRAAAAATACWWTAAATTKTTATTATACACTTAAAATTAATAACTTATTWAAAAATTTTARCAATAGTTGGCACATTATAATAAATTTATCATCATATATAAAATTATTTTTTTAAAAAAACATTAAAATCCAACTAGTTGAAAATGCTACTTTGTCAWATTATATTTTATCAAGTATATATATTTTTATTATTTTTATAATAATTTTTTTTACATTTAKTCTATGCTATTAAATTGCAAATATCGTATGAAAATTTAATATAGAAATTTCTAAGAATTACTTTAAAAATATATATTAAAATAKTTGTATTTATWAAGTTTTAATATTTGTAAAATGAAAAATAATTTTATCAAATWATATAATTAATCATAAATGAAAAATYATATTAAAATTTTTAAAARATCACTTTAGCGTTATATATAATAATAAAAGTCATATATTATATYTTATRTATAATATAACATTTTCAAAAATTTGCTATTAATTTAATTCATGWTATTTTCTAAAACAATTTTTTTATTTCATACGAATTTAGTGTCAAAAGTTTAAATTTTCAAAAATTTTAGTTACAAATAGACAATAATATCATAAACTTATTAAARAAAATTTTTAGATACGTTTATTTTACTTTATAAAAAATATATAGACTATGTATAATATACCTATTCTGCATCTATAGCTTTCTATATATAAGTATACTAGTATATATATATACACTGGACGTCATAAGTTTAGCAAATTTAAAAAATATAGTTAAATCATAATTAATTTAATTTAAATTAAAATTTTTTAAATAATAAATTAAACAAAAAAGTAAATATAATAATACTAATTGATTAAAAATAACAAAAATAACCAGTTTTTAAAATAAACTACTAATCCTTATAATCTGTTGAAAACACGTGTGTCATAAGTATTGAAAACAGTGTTTAAGAGGCCATTATATATCTTCAAATAAATCAAATGTAAGTAAATTTAATTTAATATTATTATATTTAGTTAAGTTTAATATAAAATTTAATTTTACAGATTAAAATGGGCCGAAAAAAACAATTAAATGACATCGAAAGAGGCCAAATTGATGTCTTGCGGCGGACTCATCCCGAATGGACGGCCACTCAAATATCGGCTGAAATTGGTCGGTCGTTATCGACTATAAGTCGCTATTTGGCCGATCCAGAAAATTATGGAAGATCGCCGCGTAGTGGACGGCCAAAAGCTATTTCCGACTACAAGCGTCGGAGAATAGTTGCTTTGGCTGGCCGCCAGCCGCTTACCGCACGCAAAATTGCGGCCAAAGTTTCGCTAAACTGTTCTTTAAGAACAGTTCAACGAACTTTGGCAAGTGATGAAAACTTGCGGTGGCGGAAAATGGCCAAAAAACCTCGGCTAGAGCAATCTCATAGAGATGCTCGGCTGAGGTTCGGCCTCGAGCACGTCCGATGGTCCTTGGAGTGGAGTCGGGTAGTATTTTCGGACGAAAAAAAGTTTAATTTGGACGGACCCGACGGCCTGGCATACTGAGAAGCGAGTTATGTCCAGAAGAAATTTCGGCGGTGGTTCGGTTATGGTTTGGGCGGCCTTTGGTTATTTCGGTAAAACCGAAATAATACAAATTGATGGTCGCATGAACTCTGGCCGTTACCAGGATATGGTTGGCGAGTTTTTGTTGCCGAATGGACCACTAATCGCTAATGGCCCGTGGATTTTCCAACAGGACAATGCAGCGCCGCATCGGTCTAAAGCCACAATGGATTGGTTTGCGGCCAATGAAGTTGAAGTTCTCCCGTGGCTGGCTCGTAGTCCTGATCTCAATTGTATTGAGAATCTTTGGGGCTGGTTGGCTCGCCGCGTTTACCGCGACGGCCGCCAATTCGACAATCGGCCACAATTATTTTCCGCCATCACGGAGGCATGGTCAGAAGTTCCACAGGAACTTCTGGTCAGTCTTATTGACTCAATGCCTAATCGGATGACGGAAATTATCCTTCAAAAGGGTGTTATTACCCACTATTAATTAATTTTTTTTAATTAAATTTAATTTTTCTAAATTATTGTCATTCATTATTTAATTATTTTTTTAATTATTGATAAAATTTATATTAATTTGTATTTTATAAAATTATTTTTTATGTTTTATTTTGTGTTTTTATTTTGTGCTTTTATTTAATTATATTTATTTGATTTTTATAACTAATTTTACTAATTTCAATTAAATTTAATTATTTGCTATACTTATGACGTCCAGTGTATATATATATATAATTTTATATAATATATTTTTATTTTATAAATGTTTAAACATTAACACTGAAATTTAATATCATTTTGATTTATATCCGGTTCATTAATTAATTATTGTACAAAAACAAATCTTTTCAATAAAAGCAAATAAAGTTAAATGTTTTTGTRTATATATATATACATATATGAGGGTTATGACAACATAATATATATATATATTACATAATATAATTTATATATAATAGTTATTGCAATTTTATCTAAAAACATGTAATCTATATGCTAAGTTAATGTTATGTAATTTAATACTAAATAAAGAATTATTAATATTATTATTAGTTTTTGTTGTTTTTATTTACTCCTAAATACAGTCATAATATTCACGAACTCCTGAAAGGAGTCCGTATATGCATTCTAAAAGTCTGTCTGTCTGTCCCACATAGGTTAGTGGTTCGAATCCAGACTGCTACAAATTTTTTTTGATTTTATTTTTTGATAAAGCATCAAAAACGAGATATGGGATAAGTATTGAAATTTTGATATATCATCAGGAACATGGAGAAAATGGCGTCTAAAAATTAAAAAATATATTTTTTGATTTTTAAATTTAGATTTATGTAAAGCATAAAATATGATGTATAAGAAATCTGCATTTAAATTTTTATCTCTTCAAGAACTACGAGAAAATGACAACTAAATTTTTAATTTTGTCATACTGAATCATTTGATACCCCACATGATTATATTTGACATTTTTTTATTCTGAAGCATTTGTTATCCAACATGTCTATAGTTGAGTTTATTTTGTAATACTGAGTCATTTGATACATTGTATGACAATAGTTGAGTTATTTTGGTATTCTGAACTATTTATATTTCACATTACTATAATTTTTATTTTGTCATACTAAATTTAATTTTTAATTAAAATTTAGGAGTTCGTATGGAAATGCTTTCTAGCATTCTCAACTGGTTTTATTTTACATTTAAAACTTCATTATAAGTCTATTGACTCATTTTGATTATAATCACACATTACTWCTRACATWAWATACAGTTTTTATAATATAATAAATTAAACTAAAAAAAGTTTTTACATTTATTTATTTCAGTTTRTAATATTAATARCATATTATAATGTATTTATTACTTTTAATTCAATACTAATATAAATAGTATAAAYTATTTTGCAATAACAAATTAAGTTGTTAARATAAATTTCAMTAAAAAACAAATTTTAGAAAAAYTCWATATTAATTTGYTTATAAAYTATAAGAATATTCAAATATATTTTTTTATWATACYWAAATTATAWATTTATTTTAAATAATAAATTTGATCAAAATATTTTTATAAAATCTTGAAAATTATATATAATTAATATATTTATAATATTCGTAATAACTTTATTACAAAAAAACATGTTATTTATTAATTTTGTATATTTGTGTKRTTATTAATTTAAAGWTTTAGTTAGAATTGAAATTTATTATAATATTGAATATTATTTAAATGCAAACATTATAGATGGCAATATGWTCTTAATAAAWAATATCAAAATAWAACTATTAWATAYTTATTATTTAAAATTATTACAAATTTTATTTATAACATCTTTAAATAWTYTAAATTAATATTACTTWTAATTATWTTAAAAAACAATGAATATMTTATTAATATAATKTAATCTTCTATTTAATYCTAAAATACTCAGTAAAACTATTTAAAAATTGATATAAACTAATAATRTTATTAAGTTATTGATAGGTAGTATTACTGTTTTTTGCATAATATGATATTTTCGAACAAACTTTTTTTTTAAAAAAGTAGTTCACTGAAATCTATGTGTGTGTGTGTGTGTGTGTCTGTCGCTTTCAAGTTGTGAATTTTGAAATTTTGATTTTAGTTTCGGTTATATCATCAAAAATAAGGTATAGGGTACATACATTAAAATTTTGATATCTCTTCGGGAACATAAAGAAAATGGCGGCCAAAGTAAAAAATTTTTAGAATTTTTTTTATTAAGTATAGATTTGAATAAAGGATCAAAAACAAGCTGAAAAAATGCATTAAAATTTTGATATCTCTTCGGGAACATAGAGAAAATGTCGGCTAAAGTAAAAAAAATTTAGGTAAAAATTTTTAACGT